TGGGACGGTTTGCGGTTCGGTTTGGACCCGCCCACATCTATGCGGTTTGGGAAAAAGTCAACCCGCAACCGCTCGCAATGCGGTTTGCGGTTTGTGCGGATAGGGTTCGCGAATGTGCGGGCGGTTTGCGGATTAAACTTTTTTTTCAAAAATTTATTTTTAAACCTTTTTTTTCTCCCATTTTGTCAATCTTTATTTTGGACATTATTTCTCATATTTTCTAAAAAACTCCAACATTAATAATTAATGAATTAAAACTTATAAAAAACTCATAAAATAAAAAGGAAGATAGATAAACAACTGACTCTGCACCTAAGAGAGCAGCTACAAGCTTGCAATACCCAATGTACCACACCCATAACCAAAATCTGCCACTACCTTGTTGGCCACATCCCCAAATGCGTCGCTAAAAACCCCGTCTTTTTTGCTATATTTTCCTGTAGTGTAGCTGGATATTTGGCAGGTCATTCGGTGGTAAACATGCAACAGTTATAAAAAGTGAATTGATAAAAGCTCCTAACTATCCTCAATTTAGTAAAATCTATATAATAAAGTAGGACGGTTTATAGTGATCCCGGTTGTCCCTTTACTGTTCAGTTGTATTCTGGACTCGGTTCCGTAGAGTTAGTAGTTGTGCCTATCTTATTGTCGTCCTTTAATTCCATTTGTTTGATTTTTAGGATGTGTTGGGCTTGTTTCGAACAGGTGGGTTGAACCTTGGTCTAAAATCTTATTGCCAAGTTTTTGGTCGTTCCGCTCGAGCGGGCCTTGTTGCGCTCGAGCGGATATTGCACACTCCCAGTATTTCGTGTCCCTGCAAAACTTCTGCAGGTGTGATTTTTACGCTCGAGCGGGTTTCTTTACGCTCGAGCGGTCGCGCTCGAGCGGGTACTTTGGCGCTCGAGCGGGTGGTACTTTTTGGTGTAAGTTCTGGGAGGGGGAAATCTACGCTCGAGCGGACTGGTTTTCGCGCTCGAGCGGCTGTACTTTATTCTTGTGTCTTGGCGCTCGAGCGGATCTTATTGTGCTCGACCGTACCTAGTTTTTTGTTCTTGACGCTCGAGCGTTGTGTTCTCCACTCGAGCGAGAATGTCGTATATCAGTTGGCAGCTGGGCTTTTTAAAATCGCTTTTTACATTCTCTCTCTGTCTCTTACTTTCTAAAAAGACATTTGAGAGCTCCTTTCTCTAGAAACTCCCTTCTCTCTAGGGTTTGATCTAGTTAGAGTGCCTTCCTATCCTCCGGTCTTTGTAAAAAGTGTGTTGATTGTCGAGGGCTCCATTTTGATCCGTGGATCTTTGAGTTTGGAGCATTTTGGTTTTCTTCGACTTCTCCGTTTGAGCTCTAACTTCGAGGTAGGGATATCCTACTCCTTTTCATGAGTTTTGTTTTTGAATTTCAACATTTTGATGAGTTGGGGGTTGTTGGGTAATTTTGAGAAAGTTTGGACCTTTGTGTAATTTAACAAAAGTTGAGGTTTTGTTTATGTAAACTTATATGCATGTTTGGCATAGAGAAATGAGATCAATATTGGATTATTGGTAAAAATGGAACCTTAGGGTTGTGATGTTAATTATGGGAAATGCTCTAATTACATTGATAAATTAATTAGTATAATTAATTTGAAGAAAAGAGGAATTAAATTGAGAATGTTGGAATTGGATGTATATGGGATTAAAGGGTGTAGTTAGATTCGTTCATCGCTCACCTAGTTGAAATGTTGATTATATATCCATTTGGTGCATTTATTTTCAGTATAGAAATAACTGCTTTGGGCTATCGATGGAGGATAGTCTTGATTGTTGTAGACACTGCATGATGATTAGGCAAACTAAAACTAATCGATTGAGTATGCTATTGAATATAGTGACTGGAATAATACATTAATTCTATGTATTGATTGATTGTATATGATCTATGTTTATATACATGTGTTGTGTAGGAGGAGATAGAGGATGTACTCCACGGTTTAGGGGAAGATACGGGATGGACCTCTAAATCGGATTTTGTGTGACATTGATACAGCGCTACAATGTGTATCAAGTGTTGATTATGGAAGTGTTTGAATTGATTTGATATAGCACTAAATGTATATCGTTATCAATTGTGAAGTATAGAAGTAATTCTATGTTATGTTGATACAGCACCGAAATGTGTATCTTTTGCAAAGTGTGGGAATGGTTTATGTGTTAATGATACAGTATTAAAATGTGTATCCCTCATGAATTTCGAAAGTGTTTTAAAGATGAGTCTAAATCTCATTAAGTTATCTGGCTAGGTGTTGAGCCTTGTTTTCAAACTTAAAGTTGGAAAAGATATGGGAAATGAAATGTAACATGGATTTAATGTCATGAAACTGAAATGTGATATATGTGGATGTATCTGTGTTGACCATCTATCAACTACTAATCTTTTAGTCATTATTCATAGCTGGTTTAGTGTATTTCTACTAGGTTGTGGCTCACCCTTTATGAGACATCATTTTCAGGTACAGGTAGCATGCCACCTCCAAGGACATGGCTTGGGAGGTAAGAGACAGGCAGACTTTTGTCGTTTTGTGATCTTTTGGATGTATTACATGTAAATTCAAGCCAAAGGCTTAATGTGTAGTTGCGTTAGTACTCCTGTTTTGTAACCAAGTGTTAACTTGGAAAGCTATAAGCCTGTAGGGCATTTGCTTTTGTTATTAGCATGTAGCACTCATTGTAAAGAACTACTCTGATGAATGAAAGAATATTTATCTTTTATACCAATGCATGTCTAAATTGATGGGTTTTAATGTTATTATTATGAGGGCGTTACACGGTTTTTGAATTTTCAATATATTTTTGTCCTACTAAGACATTTGAATGGCTCAGATCTATTCAAATTATAAAACAATGACTGAAATATATTTTTCAAAAAATGTCATACATGTACATTTTCTACTTTTTCGCTTCTCTCTCTCTCTTACTTTTTTCTTTTCTCACCCATCCTTCCATGATCTCATGATCCTACCTTCCTCCATCTTTTATTTATTTATTTTTATTTTCTCCCATTTTTATTTTTCTCTCTATTTGTTTTTTTTTATTTTCTCCTTTTTGTTCACTCATTTTTATTCACACCGTACCTGTCACGACCCAAACTCGGTATCCAAAGGTTCGACATCATGACAAGATAATATCTGAGATCCTAACAAATTAATAGAGCAGCGGAGATAAAAGGTACCCAAACTTTTATTTAATAATAACAAAATATATACATTGGAGCTACTGTTTAATTAAATTGTTAGAACTAAACTATGTCTACAAAGTGTTTTGTGCCTATCCCACGCACTAGTCCTAACATATCATCTGAAATGGGGAAACAACTATAAGCCTATGACAGTGTGAGGAATATTATACTGAGAGCATGAGGGTATAAAAATTACTATGGATAATTATTGGGCTAAACAGAGTTTGATATTAAAATACATAATATATACTACGGAAATCATTTGACATATAATACATAAATCATATAAATAAAATAATCATAATCACGGTACAGAATGGAACAAAACAGATGTATGGACTCAAGAGTGGCTCATACGAACTCTAGAGGTGGCTCCCACAATAGTGTAGTACTTAGCTCCATACAGCACTTAACTCTATACAACACTTTGCTCTACAACAGAACTCAGAGGATCAATGCATCCATAACAGACAGGGGATTACAAAGTGACCAATCAGAAGACCAATAGTTATTTAAGTCTCCTAAAGCGTGAGACCTCCGTGATGATACTTATAAAATAATTACTCAAAATACATTTTAATAAATAATTATACCATGAGCTTTTTTATTATATAAAATAAGATTTATAAAATAAATAATGTAATTAAAAATACTAATATAATTTATAAATATTTCATGATAACTTAAAGTATAATAGATGATGTTAATGAACAAAAAAAAATTTGTTGATGTTGATCTTGATGGAGAGATGGCCAGATCCATTCTCGCATCATTCTCGCATTCATCATTCATCCAATGCCTTTTTTTTGTACGAGAAAACAGATTCATTCTCGCATCATTCATTTTAAATTATTTTTTTTCAGCCTTTTCTTCTTCTTCTTCATCAGAAAAACGCAGGAACAAAAAAAAAAAAAAAAAAAAAAAAAAACACACAAAAAGGGGGTTGTTTGGGGGGGGAGCCACAGTCGGGCCACAGACTTTCGAGCTACGTAGCGGGGTCGTTTATTTTATCACTCTTTGTTTTTTCTTGCTCCCATTTATACCAAGTTTCTTACCGTAGCTATTATAATTACCCTATTAATAGATGTCCCACGCTGCAGGATGGTTACCATGTTGCTTGCCTTAAGGCAATGCCACCTTTCCTTTTCCTTTACCACGACTCACCACCACACCTATATATATATAGGTAGGCAACTAATGCATGAGGGACATCTGGCAAGGCCAGATGTCTTCTCCAAATTGAAGGTGGCAATTACCCCTTTTATATTTATATTTTAAATTTTTTACTAATTATGTTATTTTATAAAATTATATATAATAATACAAAATAAATCATATATTTTTTTAACTGTGATTAAATAATATTAATATAAATTTTAACGAATAATTAAAAATCTAAATTGTTACAATATCTTCAGATACAAGTATATACTAATATTTAATATATCATCAAATTTAAATTTAATAAAATAATAAATGGGTTGTTAGAGTACCTTCAAGTATGAGTATATAGTAGTATTTAATATATTATCAAATTTAAATTTAATAAAATAATAAGTGAAATATTAGAGATGGTCTTAGCTTCCGTTTAAGAAGTGGGTTGGCTTTTTGACTTTTTTGGTTATTTTAGTTTAGGCTAAAAAGTTTAGTTTGGGAAGAACTTTTTAATTTTTTGACTTTTCTGATTTTTTTTGTGAGAGAAGAATATAATAATTATGAGTTGAATGTGATATTTTATTTATTATGACTAAAATAACTTATTTTATTTTTTATAACTATTTTATCCCCAAAATCACTTGCCAAACACCACCCTCACATTTGCTTTACTTTAAGATGTGATTCTTGAAATCATATTTGGCAATTGAGAGAGAGAGAGAGAGAGAGAAGATGAAGCTAAAAATCTACGCCGATCGATTGTCGCAGCCATCTCGTGCAGTTCTCATCTTCTGCAAGTAATCATATCTAGTTCATTGTCCTCAACTTTACCAATTAAATCGATTTGGTTATGGTTTTGTATCAAATTATGCTTTTGTTTCTCTGTTCTTTCAATTAAATTTACGTGCGTGTTTATATTTTTTCTGGTATTGTAGGTTGAATGGAATTGACTTTGAGGAGATCACAGTAGATTTTGTTAAACGTCAAACCCAATCTCCTGAATTTAAAGGCGAGCCTTTTTTCACTATCAAGCATATTTGGTAGCAGCAAACTTTGGATCAATTATTGATATGCAATTAATTAGCAACCTGATCTTATAGACCAACTAATTTTATTAATACTTGTAATAGAATTGCAAGAATAGAAAGAAAATAGAGTGATAATAGAACCACTAAATACTTGCTCAAATTATCCAAAAGGGTTATTAAAATCGCAATCCAGATCGTGCAATTTGAAATTGTTAAAATGATCCAAATTGTTGTGTGATCACTGTTATAGTAAGATAGCAAGTAGGCAAGTAGAATCGTAATAGAAATCGTTGAATTTATAATTTATTATTTTATTTTTAATATGTGTCATTTTAATTTATATATTTACTTCATTTTTAATAATAATAAAAAAAAATCATATGATTCTCGATATAATCTTATAATTCGATCCACAAAACCTTCTTACTAACTCTCCGTAAGATCCCGATTGCAGTCACCGCTGCCAGATGCCGCTTCCCTTTTTTACCAATTGTTAAAAAATTTATATTAAAAAATAAATAAATAAATAAACAAAGAACTTTGCCAAAAGTGATTGATGTGTGTGTTGACAGAGGGAGGGACAATGGGCCATGCCCTTTCTTAACTTTCTATAATTTATGTTTGGGCAAATTACAAACACTCTTTAAGATTTTGTGAAAATACAGATTTTTTTTGAGGTTTGAGAAATTACATTTCGCTCCTTGAAATTTATATTTTCATAACAAATTGACCTCTGAGGTTTTTATTTTCATATAGATTCCTCCCTAATTTTTCCTAATTTGTTATGAAAATTTGACCCTCAGGAGGCAATTTGTAATTTTTTAAACCTCAGGAGAAAATCTGTATTTTTACCAAACTTTGAGGGGTGTTTGTAATTTACCCTTTATGTTTTAAGTATAGATTTATAAATAATTTTTTACTTGGTCTATGACAGAGGGAGGGACAATGGGCCATGCCCTTTCTTAACTTTCTATAATTTTTGTTTTAAGTATAGATTTATAAATAATTTTGTAATTGGTCTACTCTAAATTAAAATATATATTATTATTTTTTTCTTCACTTAAATGTTTTCTATAATTTTACATTATTCAAATATTTATTTTATAATGAAATTATCTTTATGATGTTATAAAGTTTGCTTTTATATGTTTACTTTTTTATTCTTTTTGATAATGCTTACTAATTTATTCTTATTGATATTTTTTTTTCTCCTTCTATGACCTATATATTTATAAATATGTAAAATGATTACTTGTTTGATAAAATCTTTCAATAAAATATTTGCTTTTTTTTTTAGACAATTATTACAATCCAAGTCACTCTTGTGGTTAGAAATTAGGGTTAATTTTGTTAAAGTCGAAGCACGATGTAGTCAGAACAATATTGTAGATATAACATTTCATTTTATTATTGCTCCTTCTGAACCAAAATTCTGACTCGACCAGTGTATTGATATTATATTATGGTGGCATATGATAGTCTAGCGTTGACATGTAAGACCATCTCCAATGGTTCACTTTATCCATCATCAAATTTAAATTTGATGAAAAATCCTCTTTTTTGCTCATTCAACGGTTTATCAAATCCAGGATTTTACTTTCTTTTTTTTTTTTCTATCAAACTTAGAATGCTTTGTGCCTTTCATCAAATTATTATTCATTATCGTTAGATTTTCACCATTGGATGTCCCCTGGATGATCACCTCAAGACAAAATTATAAGAAAAATTTACATTAGCCGGTCGACCGGCCGGACATTCGTTAGGTCGACCGCTTGGTTGATGGTCGGTTGACTGGTTGAATGTTTGCCCAGCTGTCCGCCGGTCGATCGGTGTTTTGATAAAGCTTCAAAAACCTCTGCTTGAGCACTTGATATCAAATGGACTTTTTACTCAAATTTGATGAAAAATTTGATGCATCGTTGGAGATGCTCTAAAATAGTTTCGTATAATTTTGGCAACTTAAGCTCCTTGACCCATATGTAATAATCAGCTTGTTTGGTTTTAAAACTCAGGATTCACTTTTTAGAAAATTAAAATTTTTTATTTTTCATATTTTTTTTTATTTTTACTGAATTTTTAAAATATTTTAAGCATTTTTTAAAAAAATTTTAGATACAAATAACACAGATACACTTAAAAAGTAAAATATTTATGAAATTTTTTTTTAACAATTTAATAAATACCAAAAATACAAAAAGAAAAAAAAAACTAAGATTCAATATAATTTTCATATTTTGTGTATTTATTAATTTTTAAATTTTTTTTTAAAAAATATTTTACTTTTTAGATACATCTAAGTAAGATACATCTAAAAAAAAATATTTAAATTTTAAAAAATATTCACTAAAATAAAAAAAAAAATTGAAAAATTAAAAAATTAATTTAAACAAAGTAAATTCAAAAAATTAAAACCAAACACAATAAATAATTTGTACGTATAATATTGTGTACGGTATTGGAGCTCCGCGATGATGATGCTATTTAAACTAATTTCCCTATTGATTAATTTCCACAGGACTTATAACGAAGTTCAGGAGAACAATGGACAAAATAGTGACAGTGCTTTTTGAGTAGTCACAATGGTACATTTGTTAACACAAAAATATTTTGGAGTTCTAATTTGTGAGCTTTAATAGCTCTAATGAGAGATGGGCCTCAGTGTGATGAGATGTTTTGACCTTGGTTTTTTTTTTCTTTTTTGAGTTGCTCGCTCAGTAAAGCTCTATTTAAAACTTTATTTTAGAGCTACCAATCAGTGTTGTTGTTAATAAATCCTAATAAAGTACTGACTGCACATTTTCTGCCAATGATGATTTTATTTCAGAAATAAACCCTATGGCAGAAGTGCCGGCAATAATGCATGGAGATTTTAAGCTGTTCGAGAGGTATTTATACATTTTCAGATGACTTGTTAAGGGTGGATTACCAATCATTTGTTGTCATGTCCGGTGTTGATCTTTTGAAGTGTCTATTTGTTTATGTATTTTTCATGCCCTATGATCTGTTTTAGAGAGTGTAGTATTAAGTACCCCCCTGCTAGATTTGATGTATATTTTTTGTTATGAGCAGATCTTATGATAACTTCATCTTTTTATTTTTTCAGTATTGATGTATCGGGTTTGGAATCCTTGTTGTATTAGGAATATATGATAAATAGTGGTACTATTTATCTTATTATATTATTGAAACATAAATCACCAACAAACCAATTACTTGCAATGTATGTATGTATGCATGAAAACAATTTGGTACACATCATTAATAGTTGAGTGTTATTATGAGTTCGGGGCTATTTGATATAGCTTTTAAGAGGTGATTATAATTTATTGGGCAGAAATAACTTAAATGAACTAAAAATACTGATTATTTGAAAGATAAAGAAGGGTTGCTTTTACTTATGCTTTTTGATTATTAGCTTTTAGTTTAAAAAAGCTCCACTAAACATGGTATAGCACCAAATAAGCTTGTGTGCCACATTATGAGGTTAGAGCAAACATATGCCGCAAGAATCCACCTTCTTTTCTTCATTTAAAGAAAGAAAAAAAAAAAGAAAAAATCCATTTTTGACTTAAATTCAGTTATGTTTGCCTATTGCCTCCTTGGTTTTTGGTTAGTTTAAGTTTTCTTTGGATATTTATCTGTAGTATTGGACTGTAGATTTTAATGACCCAAGGTTATATTCAAGAATAAAAATGTTATGATTACATGCTGCACAATGTGTTTCTGTTACTGGCGTACGTCTCTATTGAATGATGTTTACACATTTTCCTCTGTTTTAGTGTCTAGTTTCACTTGTGAATCATTGAGTATATATGATTGTTGGTCATTGATGGATGGATCTATAAATTTTTAGGTATAATGCTATTCTTATGTTATACGTGTTGACTGTCTGAGAACCTAATTACTTATTAGTACTATTTATAATTTTCTTGTCATACCTCATGGTTTTAGCATTGTGGTGACTCTTGTGGGTTTGATGTGTTTTGCAGTCATGCAATTCTCAGATATCTTGCTTGTGCATTTCCTGGAGTTGCAGATCATTGGTGAGAATAGTTACTTCCTTTTTGGTTTTGTAGTTATTATGCATGTCCACTTTCAGCTGTGGTCTTGTAGTTATTGTCTATATTTGGTTGTTATATACATATTCTGCAGCCTGGTTCTTAACAAATTTTCTTGTTCATTCCTAAAGGTATCCAACTGATCTCATCAAAAGAGCTAAGATTGACTCAGTGCTGGATTGGCATCACTCCAATCTACGCCGTGGTGAAGGTGCCCCCCAATGATATTCTTTATTTTTTTTTATATCATAAATTGACAGTTGATAGTTTTGGGAGCAACAGTAAAATGTGCTTTTATACAACTCTCTAGTGATTTTTTGGTAAAATGTTTTTTGTAAAATGATCAGTGCATCTTCAAAGTACCTATGAAAAAATATCCCCCGGATAGATTCCGTTATGTTGTTACATTTTATGTGTAAACATAGGATTCTGCAAAGATTTTTCTTTTTCTTGCCTGGTCATCTATCGTTGTGCTCCTCTATTGAAGTCCTAAATTTCTTCATCAATTTTTAAGTGATCGGTTTAACAATTTCATCTCCCTTTTTCCTCTCTAGTTTCTAAATATCATTCCAATAGATAACATAGCTACTTTTTATGTGTGGTTGATAATAATATTAGACTCGGCAATTTGTGCCTGTGCGTCCGCGCACATCAGTCAGCAATGATCCAGAAACAACATTTGTTTATCAATTTTAAGTAATTATTTTTTTGGTTTAGCAATTCCATTCTCCTTTTTCCTTCCAGTACTTAAAGGTCTAATTTTATGCTTTCCTTTTCAGTTACACTGGTTCAAAATACTGCACTTGCGACTATACTTGGCCGTCAACCAGGTCCACATGTAGTTCCCGAAGCTGAGAAGCTTTTGTCTGCATCTCTCGAAAAGATTGAGACATTTTGGCTTAAGGAAAATGGGCAGTTTTTGCTGGGAAACTCCCAACCATCTATAGCAGATCTCAGCTTGGTCTGTGAAATTATGCAACTAGAGGTGAATGGATTTAATCTATGTTGGCAACTTGGTATCGATATTTAGTATGTTTGTGTGTGTTTGCGGTCATGTATAGATGGAGAAATTTATCAAGTTGGAATTCACCTAGCCAAATTATATATATAAAAGAAAAAACGTTCTGCTTTGAAGTCGAAGAATAATAAGATTGATGGTTGAAGCCATTGAAAAACCAAGATATTAGGCCAACACAAGAAGGAAGAAAATTATTGTAAGATCTCATTATTAAATAAAAAGTAACTATAAAAATCTTTTGGATTCAGGTTATGGAAGAGGAGGATCGCAATCGAATATTAGGCCCACACAAGAAAGTTCAGCAGTGGATCGAAGATACAAAGCTTGCAACAAGACCTCATTTTGAGGAAATTCATGGAGTCCTCTATCAAGTCAAAGCAAAGCTACAAAAGCAGCGGTTGTTGGGAGCAAATACTGAGACCTAGTCTGGCTTATAAAATGCATTGCAGTCCAAGGGGTGAAAACACTCTTACTAATATATGTTATAAATCTGTAATATTCCCTTTGAGTGCCCTTGTCGCATTGTGATATCTAAATAAGGGCAGGCACAAACATAAACACTGATGTGCTTAGAACTTATACTCTGTTGTGAGATTTGTAATAGTACCTCTCAGGGTTGAATCAACATGCTATCAATAATGTGATTTGTGGAAAATTTGTGTATCTCTATGAAAGTCCCCCAACCCCAAGTACAGGACACATTTTCTAAGGATGAATTTGGGGTAGTGCCTAGAAAAGAGTTTGTTGATTTATTTGAGTCATATTACATTTTTACTTTTTGCACTTTTTTTTTATATAATAAATAAGCAAAATTAATTTTAAAAACACTTTCCAAAACAACTTTTTGGCAAATTGAAAAAAAGTCACCTCTTTTTCTGACAAAATAAACCAAAAAATATTGTTTATTTTTAGAATTTTTTTAGAATCTTTTAAAAAAATTATAAATTTTTGGTTTGTCTTGTCAAACTAAATCTAGAAATTTAAATTTTTCTAAACAATTTCAAATTTTTTTTTTTGAAAATCAAAATAAGTAAACCCCAAAACAAAGTCTAAATCAGGAAACTAGTCGAAATGTGTACTGAGAGGGGAATTTATATGTAGATTGGGCCGAGTTGGGCCGTTGTGGGCCTCAGTGCGAAAGGTTGAATAAAAATGCCATAAAGTTACTCCGGTTCCAAAGAGGTTAGCTTGGTCACCATACTAAAACTTGTACCGGTTGTCGCAGTATGGCAAGTTTGGTCGCTACAGTTAGTTCGGTCATGGCATAGGGAACCAAAGTATACTGAGCCCTCTTCAGGACTTGGTTTTGGGTTAGTTCAGCTTAAACTCTTCTATGGATATCTAGGTTTTGGCATGTGAAGCCGAGGTAGGAGAGAAGCAAGGTAGAGCTGAACTAACAGTTAGATCGGTCACTCCAGTTAGTCTAGCAAGGCAATGTTATTTCGGTTGTATGGTAGTCCGGCCATGGTAAAACCATCTTACTTGGTTTAAACAGTGAGGGGGGTGTTGAAGGATAAGCATTATCCTTCAGGAGTATGAATCCTAGGAGGACTCTATATGGAGGAGTAAGAGTCCTACTTGGATTGTGCTACACGGAACCTATAAAAGCTCACCAATATCACCTATGGAGAGGTAACACAACCTTGATTCCTGAATATACAGAGCTTTTGTCTGCTTGTCTGTTTTGCTGACTTAGGCATCGGAGGGGTTTCCGGCACACACCCACCGGTTAGCTCACGTTTGTGTTTTTAGGGAGTAAAGCGACAACGTTTGGAGGAACGTGGACTTGATTAACAGGATTATATGAGAAGGTTTATTTCTTTTCCGTACAATTGGCGTCGTCTGTGGGCATTCAGACAAGAACAAAACCTCTTGATCAAGCTTTTCCTCTTTAGAAGCGATGGCGCACAACAAAGATTTGCCGCAGTCCCCCATCGACGGACAAACACCAGAAGGGGATACAAGACGCGAAGGCCTACCTTCTATCCCTTCCATGGCGGACCCAGAGCCACAGCGACAAAATCCCAGGAGGGATACAAAGGGGAGGAGGCAGACTAACAGCCCCCGTCACTCTCGTTCACGAAGTCCTGACAGACAAAGGCGGAGGATTAATCCTCAAGTTCTGGAGGACAGCGTGAAGGAGCAAGATAAATTAATAAGGAAGATGGCGGCGGACATGGAGGCCATGAAGCGCCAGATGAAGGGAAAATGAGTGACGACAAGAGAGGGGTGCAAAAGCAAGACGCCCCCTCGCCGCTCAGAAGACCATGGAAGACATTCCATACTATCACAAGCAGAGAGTAGAAGCCTCAGGACAGGCGATACTTAATCCAGAACCTCCAGAACTCGTTACTCCAGGTCTGAGAGAACGAGATCATTGAGGTCTTACATCGAGGGAAGTACCTATCGACCCTCACGCTCGCACCAGACATTATCCAGGCAGACGGAGTTGCCAAGATCGTCCGATTTGCGGAACATGCTGGAAGAAAAGGCACGAAAGAAGGAGGATACTAAGGCGCGCAACCCTTGCAAGGTATCTACCCTACAACGGTTGGCTCCTCGAACGCATGGAAGCGTCGAGGTCGGAATGCCGTTGCCACGCCCTGCCTACGAACCAACGGACAAAGCATTAGCAAGGCTGCAGACCTCGCCGTTCGTTCCGGCAATTGAAAACGCGCCCTTTCCTTCAGGTTTCCTTCAACCCAAATTCACCACGTACGAGGGGAAGACGGACCCTTACATACACCTAAGCCACTTCCGCCAGGTTATGGCGGTATATCGGCGAAACGAGGCTTTGATGTGCATCCTCTTCCCATCAAGCCTTGGCGACCTAGGCTATGCAAACATGCATGAATTTAAACCATTTCAATGCTCAAATACAAGCTCAAATGAGCTAACTCTTACAAAAACAAGATGAAAACATGGACTTAACATAACCATGAGCATGCATGTGACAATTCTCCATGGAATCAACTCAAAATTCAACAATTCAAACATGCATGCATGG